ATGCATTATAGAGATTGTGCGTTGCTTTACTTGAAACATTATTTCGTCAACATTTTCAGAATTTCAGACAAGATTGCAATTGTAAATCCCGTGTGATTTTATTTTCTCAAGTTAATCTTAGATTTAGTGCACTTGAATAGAATAATTTGGCAACACACAGCAAGGGACTTTACTACTTATGCAAATAAACTTTTTTTTTATAAAACACTTTTTATTAAATTCCTACATCAGCTTTAATTAGGAGTGCCATTTACTTTACATTATTTTAGCTCTTTAGCTTATTTCACCAAATTCTATAACGAACGTGCCACCCGGTGAATTCAATGCCAGCCTTGATATGCAGTGCAACAAGGCAAAACCTGCCAGCTCTATCAGCTTTTTCTATTAAACATTCCTTTTGCTTCTTCTGGGTTCTTTCGGTAAAGTCACGTAGAATGGAGATAAAATAATAAAATAATAACAGAATTAAATTATCACGACGTTTCGGCCACAACACAAGTAGCCTTCCTCAGGTGAAGAAACAGGACTGTCCGGAAGACAGCACTTGAGTGAACCCTGCCAAGCTTGAAAGTGTCTTTTAAGCTGTGTGGGAGGAACAGAGCGCCTTGACAAAGGAGTTTACATATACATTAGCATGTAACTGGGGGATTAGCATGATGTTGGTGTGAGGGATGAGCACCACGGAGAGGGATGAGCACCACAGAGAGCGACGAGCTCGGACCGGAGAAAGGGGGGAGAGGAGTTTACATATAAATTAGCATGTAACTGGGGGATTAGCATGATGTTGGTGTGAGGGATTAGCACCACGGAGAGCGACGAGCTTTGTTCAGACGGACGAGTCCATCTATGTTCGTAACGGAAGAGGGGGGGGAAGAGGAGGAAACAGCCACGGTGCGCTGCTCTGTACTTGTAGTATTACACTCTGTATTATTCTACTAACCCTACTGTATACCACACTGCTGTATATTCACTATACAATTACGGTACTATATATTGCCTTATGAATTATGTTAAACATTACACTGTTATACTATTTATTATTAAACAAAATGACCGTCGTGTGAAAGGTACTAAGAGGCAGTGCCAGCGAATGGACTGCGGTCTGAAAGCCACCGTAAAATGCAATCAATCAAGAACCGAAATGGTTTATAACGTCTTTCCAATGGTTACTAAGCCAGAATCCATCTTCTTGGTTGAAATTGTCTCTGTGTTTGTATATGTGGATAGCCTCATGAACGAATCTCTCATGGTAGCCGGATGGCTTGCAGAGAACCTCTGTCTTGGAGAAGTCAATGTCATGTGAGCCCACTGAATTATAACAGTGATCTGCCACGGCTGAGGTGTTCGTCCTACCGTATTTCAAGTCTGCTTTATGTTCACAGATGCGGTCCGAGATATGTCGTTTGGTTTCTCCAATGTAACTGCTACAACAGAGGCAACTTAGTTTGTAGACGCCCACGTACTGTATGTCTGGAACCACATCTTTTACAGACGGAACCAGATCACGGATTTTATGTACTGTACATAAGGCTATCCACATATACAAACACAGAGACAATTTCAACCGAGCAGATGGATTCCGGCTTAGTAACCATTGGAAAGACGTTATAAACCATTTCGGTTCTTGATTGATTGTATTTTACGGTGGCTTTCAGACCACAGTCCATTCGCTGGCACTGCCTCTTAGTACCTTTCACACGACGGTCAATAGTTTAGTTTATAGCATTTTGTATAATAATAAATAGTATAACAGTGTAATGTTTAACATAATTCATAAGGGAATATATAGTACCTTAATTGTATAGTGAATATACAGCAGTGTGGTATACAGTAGGGTTGGTAGAATAATACAGAGTGTAATACTACAAGTACAGAGCAGCGTACCGTGGCCGTTTCCTCCTCTTCCCCCCCCTCCTCCGTTACGAACATAGATGGACTCGTCCGTCTGAACAAAGCTCGTCGCTCTCCGTGGTATTAATCCCTCATACTAACATCATGCTAATCCCCCAGTTACATGCTAATTTACTGTTGATATGTAAACTCCTCTCCCCCCTCCTCCGTTCCGTACATAGATGGACTCGTCCGTCTGAACAAAGCTCGTCGCTCTCCGTGGTGCTAATCCCTCACACCAACATCATGCTAATCCCCCAGTTACATGATAATTTATATGTAAACTCCTCTCCCCCCTCCTCCAGTTTGAGCTCGTCGCTCTCCGTGGTGCTCATCCCTCACACCAACTTCATGCTAATCCCCCAGTTACATGCTAATTTATATGTAAACTCCTTTGTCAAGGCGCTCTGTTCCTCCCACACAGCTTAAAAGACGCTGTCAAGCTTGGCAGGGTTCACTCAAGCGCTGTCTTCCGGACAGTCCTGTTTCTTCACCTGAGGAAGGCTACTTGTGTTGTGGCCGAAACGTCGTGAGAATTTTATTCTGTTATTATTATACATATTTTTTTTATCTCCATTCTACGTGACTTTACCGAAAGAACCCAGAAGATGAATTCCTGCAGTCACGAAAGCTTTAAATCGAAATTCATGTTGCTATTTCTTAAAAAAAGGATCCATTTTGCCTGTTATTTCCACTTCACAAAACCAGTGCATACCAGCAGTACACCTTATTTTTTTATTGGTCAGATAAACATTGGTGCATGCATATTGCTACTCAATTTTGAGATATAAACGGATTTTATGTCATGGTGAGAATATTATTCCGATGTAGCCTTCCCTGTGTACATCCTCTTTACATAGCACACAGTACATGCGAGACAGATCCCATTCTTCCTGCAAGTCCAATTTGCTGTGCTCAGCCAGGTCCTATTTACAAAAAGAAAAAAATTAAAGTGGTCTAGTAGACAAGCACTGACCATGAAATATGTTTATCTGTTGTCATTCAAATACACACACAGATATTGTATCCTGTGAATTAAAGGACAGAACATTGTAAACTTATGCTATCAGCTGAGTTATGATGTTCTCTTGTCTTTTGTCTGTTCCAGTACAATCAGTAACATCTTTCCTGGCTGCTGCCAATCAGAAAACATGAGGACACGACTATTGTCTGGTTGAAAACATTTATTTTGGACATGATGTGTGACCAATGAGTGCATATCATTGTGTGGGCATAGTTTTCGTAGCTTTTATTTTGGCTTGACCCTGGTCACCCCAAAACCGAGAGTTTTCCCATACAATTGCAGCTGTACAAGTAAACACACAACTCCTTACGGCCTATGGCTGCCATTAACCATGATGAATTGTACTTTCATGTGGCTAAGCTTTTGCAACTCACCCTTTTATTATATACAGTAGTTGGGTCACATTGCTGTTGCATAGATAGTAGGACCACACGGAGCTAAGACCACGTGAATGAGAAAATATGCACTGTAATGAGTCTACACGTAGATGAGACCACATGGGAATGAAGATTACATGGAAGTGAAACCACACTGATGCGAGCCCTCACAGCCATGATTTCAAATTGGAGGGAATAATGCTCTTTCATTTCACATCCAATCACTGCCCCTTGTGCTTATCATTTTTTTAAATGTGATGTTGTGTCCAAGGGAAGACTTTTAACATTCCATAATACTCCATAGTAGGCTGACAAGTCTTGTCGCCATTAGATAATGCTTACATGTGTCGGTTTCACAAGAAACGATGAATGACAAGAACTACAAAAATGATAACATCATATCACCAGCATGCCATCAATTAAGCCAAAAACACTTAGCAATGCACTGATTTAAGGGAAAATGTATTTCTTATTTCCCAACAATTATTGCATTCATTATAAATAAAACACTTTAGAAACATTCAATTAGCCACAGTAATCACGAGATGACAATATTTATTTTAGAAAGAGACGACGCGATTATTATGACCCTTCGATCACGGCAATGCCACTAATAAGACATCGTTGCAACAACGTGAACGTGTGCTCGGTTAACTCTTGCGATGTTGGGGCTCGCCTGAGTGTGTGTGGTATACTGCACTTGTCAGGTTGGTATGTTCACCACCCTGGACTGACCAGTTTGCTGAAATACACGGCCACATATCCTTCCTCCGACGGTATTGCAACTTGAACCATGGTTTTTAGTCATCTGCGATTTTTTTCTTTCATCAAACATGACAGCAGCAGGGTAGGTGTAGGAGAAGGGGATGCTATCAAAATCACTGGGCAAGATGCCTTCTTGACCTGACTGTTGCTACATACAACATGCAGAATCTATCCGACTTATCAAACCTTGTTCGAACTGGAGACAGAATTGAGAGAAATAAATTGAGGTTTAGTCTCAGTGATGTGAGAAAGAAAGTGGAGAACACTACAGGGATTTTTTTTAATTAATTATGGGGAAGTTAGATCCTTTGTCTCTCCAGCTATCAAAAATAAAAATTTCGATTTTAATACTAGATTGGATAGAGTTGTCCAGTTAACATGTAGGCTCTCGAACCACTGCAAGTTAAATACAATTAAAATACTGTATATGCTCCAATAACAAGCCATGGAGATGCAGACCAAATGTATGAAGAAATTAACAAACACATGTCGGTAAAATCCATGAAAACACCATGATGGGTGACTAGAATACAAAATAGGTGAAATGTTTAAAGATGAGAGGATGATTGGTAAGTTTGGCATTGGAACGAGGAACAAGACAGAAGCCATTATCTTAGGAAAATTGACTAGCCACACGATTGTATTTTTCACCGCATCATTGCTTCCTGAGCCATAATAAGCATGGCTCCAGAAGTATGTGTAAGCCAATGTGGAGAGGCACAATTTGTGCCTATTGCTAGCTACACCTGTAATATTTAACATGCACGTACATGACACCATCAGCATGGTGAGTAATGAAATGAGAAAAAAAAGCACAGGGGCCAAATGCACACACTCATTCCTTTCACAGTAAATAATAACGTTGCTTGCGTACACACTATCTCATATGTGTGTGGCTGTACATTGTAAATGAAAACGCAGTGAGTTGTTGATGAGGTCTGTACCTGGAATTCACATGTGCATGTGATGTTCCCCAGCAGGTTGGCGGTGCACATACCACCATGCTTACACGTGCTGTCATCACACACAGATGCTCCGACATTGCTCACTGGTGCAGTGACATCTGAAAGTGCAAAACATGGATAGAGTCGATCATCACTATCATGATTTAGCAACATGCGAACTCATTGAACAGGGCCACAAACAAAACATCAAACATTTTTAAATTCCTTAATTCGAAGCACGAAGCAGTGTTGACATTTGGTTGTGCATCTGTGTCCGCAATGGATGCGCGCATCTTGCAGGGAGCTGAGCCTCACACACCTGGGTCTCATGGAACGCGTTGATGCTGTATCCAAACTCACCGAAGTTTGTTTGGCTTTTGTAATGTCTTTGGAAACAATGAGCTCAGCTAAACAAACACTGTAATTCGTTTTTAACATTGTACAGCAACTCTTAACAATAGGATAGTGTTTCGCAATACATATTATACAAAAGTGGCAAGCATTTAAAAAAAAACATAGTTGCACAAAAGGCAAGGCTTTGTTGAAACCAAAGTCACTTAGCACAAGTCCAAATGCAAAAGGGTGAATTTTGTAGGATATTATAGGGAGAATATCCGACAATACATTGCTCTCCTCGACTCTGATTTACCTACACAATAAACCAAAGTAGGTATCGTATTACACTTGTGCATGTCATTCAATAATTTTCAACATTCGGATTGCAAACAGCCCGTTAATTTATTTGCTCATCCAATCTGCCTCACTGCATTTTCACAAATGTTCACAGACTGTCATATAATTTACTGGGTACTGCACAGGCAAAAGTCTATTGTAAAAACTGTGCAAGCATTACATATGGGCGATCGTGCTATTTTCCCGATGCAGTCATGCATACTTTAAAATATCTAAAGAGAAATATCTAGCGGCCATGTGACACAACAGTGAACTAAGAAAAGAGTATGCCCATAGTTCTGGATGACTGAACCAACTCAGACAATTGGCGATGCTGGAATTAGGTCAATCTCTCCACAGTGGCTTACTCAGACCCCCAATTACACGAGCAGCAAGTTCATGTTTAATGCAAGGCAGATGACCCCTGTCAGTCAGCTGGATGTGATAGGTAGGATTAATTAGGTAATGTGTTTCCCTACTCTACTTGGTACTGTTTAACTGAACATGCTCTGCAAAACCATGTGAATTCAAATTACGTTTTCTGTAATATTATGCGAGCTGAAAGTTAGTACAGTTTTTTTGTTAATTAAGTAAGGCATTTGCAGATTAAAACATTTACGGTGAACATGTGACTGTTTAAAAATTGTTCTTTGCTTTCATAAACCTTTCAGAAAAAAACATTATACTCAATAAAGTAATTTAAAAATTTTGGTCACTCTCGCCCCTACTAACTTGAGGGCCATATTCACCTGCAGATTTGACATTTCACCTAATTTACCTTCTTAATATATAATACAAACATTACTTGAATCCATACACAGAACATGAGAATAGAAAATTCCTGTTTTAATAAAACTCTAGGAAATGTACCAATTTAAATTCTGCCAATATTTTCGTGGGAATTTATTTACGCGAAATTTAATTTAGGAAATAATCCTTACGTTTATTTGAATGTATATATGGAATATTTGAAATATGCCATTCATCCTCGGTAATATACAAGGCGTGAGATGTGATTTATCCAGGGTCTTTCTCAAAATATATGTAAATGCATTGAACTGGGTGTGCAGTACAGAGGTGGTGAATACTGACCGCTGCAGTTATTTTGACATTTTTATTAAATTCATGTTTTAACTCTATAAATGAAAGCACATTTCCCTCAATCAATCAATTGTAAATTATTATTTTTGTATCACGAAGGACCTAGCCCGATAAAATTCCCGTTTTTTCTTTTATTTCCTGCATAGAAAAAAGGAAACTGTATTCTGCATCCTTCCCATTTGTTCCTTCCATTCCACAAAAAGGGAAAGTGTGCATTGATTTGTGCGAGCTATATATGTAATGCCTGAAGGCTATGTACTTTGTGAAAAAAAGGATTTTATATAGCACGTATGAGATATGTACATCTTTAAGCAGAATGCATAAGTATGTTGTATGGTACATGATAACTGTAATGGCTGCGGAGCTGCAGAGGACATTATTTAATGTTAATTTAAATTATAAACGTTTTCCATGATTATACAGCTAATCCCCATTTTGTCTGGTGGGAGTTGCTACTCAGCTGTTAAGTCATTTATTTACGGGAGATGCCCCACAGTGCTGCCGATTTGGCAGACTTATATATGGCTGAAAACGTTGAGGGTGGTTCCAGGGCATATGCGTATCTCCACTTACCACGGACACACAAAGAAGACTGATAAGACTCTGGTGCCAACTAAACACACTTTACCCATTTCCCTATATAACAGTGGTGAAATGTGTCATATGAGCAATCACCAGCATTTCCAGATGTGTTTTGGTTTACCAAGGGCATAGCTAGTTTCAGTAATTTGAAAACGTTTGTTAAGTTATTTGATTTTTGTGTGTGTACCAGCCCATACTTGGGTCCACTAGCATTGACTGAATGGGGCTGCAAATAGCTGCTCCTTCGCCAAAGCGCCCATCTCATTGACTTTGTGGTGGGCAGGGGCGGAGCCAGGATTTTGACTTTGGGGGGGCTGACTTCAATATTCTGAGATATCCAGTTTATGTTTTCCAATGGGCGCCACAAATGTATAAAACAAATCTTATTGGATTTGAACGCGGAGTTTATTAATAGGTCGGAGCCGCTGATGTGGCTAATAAGTTTGATAAGTTCGAAAGGCTGCCGCTCAAGCAGCCTGCAGGGCAGCACAAAGTGGCAGCCTGCAGGGCAGCACAAGGTGGCAGCCTGCAGGGCAGCACAAGGTGGCAGCCTGCAGGGCAGCACAAGGTGGCAGCCTGCAGGGCAGCACAAGGTGGCAGCCTGCAGCATTTTGCAGCAGCTGGATATTCGGTTATCCCGATTATCGACTTTCCCAAAATTTCAGGGGGGTGCTGAGCCCAGCCCCTCCTGTGGCTCCGTCCCTGGTGGTGGGCATATAACACAGAATTATTTATCTGTAACCAACGACTGCATAACATTGTTCGGGGGGGGGGGGGGGGCTGTGACCATAAGGGGTTTGCACTACACTCAGCTCAATTATGCACAATGTTATTATTTTGGAACATTGGCCCCCGCTGGGGATGGAAGCTTCAGTTCTCCGCACTGCAGACCAGACAGAAGAAGGTGACCACGGCTTGTGGTTATCTGGGTAAGCCTTACGGGCAGCAGAGACCTGCTGTTCTGTAAGGGATCCTTCAACCAAGCTGCCACACCAGTACACGTGTTGCTACACGTGTGCACAGATACTTTACTCGTATTACTATTTCACCGTTGTTATATATTTCATTCACTGTATTTTATTTTCTGGTCAAGTCCATTTGTATATGAGGACTTCCGTTATCACGGCCGTGATGAGAAAAATGATATCACTAATTAGTGGCAACCTGCAATATTAATGTTTCTGTTTTTTTTGCTGCTGCTGTGCTCATGCATCATGGATCTCCCTTGTAAAATAGCTGGAAGACTGGCTAAACGGGATCATCCATGTAATAAATCAAATAAACTCAAACCTGTGTAAATAAGATGATTTTATAATGAGTACTGTGCCGAAGGAGATGCTGCCATTGTGTAATGGTTAGCGCACCGCACAAGCAATCCAGACGTCACCAATTCGATCTCCTGATTAATTGTGCATAGACCACAGGCAGTTAATCAGTAAGTAGGTAATGTTTGTAGGGGTCAAGTGTGGGTACTCGCACCTCTTCCAAGACGTCTGGCCTGTGTGGAAAATAAAAAAAAAATGTCTACTTTAAAGGGGCTTTCCAGAGCACCCTCTAGTGGAGACCATCTCATCAGCAGTTGTATGAGCTGTCAATTACAGTGCTGGACCCTGAACCTTTTTTCACTGCGGCGTGAGTAACGGAGTTGTTTAGATGCCTTGTTAGCCTGCCTCACATTGAGGAACTTCCCTACAGGTCCACAGTGGATGGATCAGTCACTTTAGATGCTGTAATATCCAGTATATATTTTTGGAATGATAAAAAAGAAACATTGAGAGGCAAAAAAAAATCACTATTGGAAAATATGAACTTACTCCTCTTCGCTCCATGTGGAGCATAAGGCCACAACAAGCCCACGCCTTGCCGGACGGTCTTTAGCAGCTTTATAGGAAAATAAGCATTCATATATGTTTTAGGAGAGTCGCCCATGGTAATATGGGTTTGTACCAAAGCACACTACCCACGCAAAACTGTGACACCCAACGCTGTGGTTTCATACTCGAGGGAAGACGATAGTGAGCTTAAGCAACAAAATGAAAATTACAAAAACCACTGACCTTCCATAACTACAAACTAAGCACTCCCTTACAAAAGATAATACATCTCAATGAGTTTTCAAGAGGTTAAGCAAAGGACAATTCTCTGAAATCAATTAAAAGACAAAAGTATGACCTCAATATTGTGTTAATTTCTCTGAAATTATATAATTTCTGCACGTACAATAATAGAAAATAGTAACATACAATTAATGATTTTCATCAGCCATGATCTATTCACCAGCCCACTGGTCTTTCCTGAATGTAAATACAATGTCTCTAACCGACATATGTTCTCGGGTCCATGTGTTCCTCTGTTTCTCAGTGTAATTTTAAGCTTCTTAGCACACTTTTCAATTTATACCGCAGAGCGTAATCTCCGCTTATGAAAAACTTTTTTCTTTAGGTACATTGCTCTTGTTTGTCTCAACATTTAATACATTTGACATGTATCTTAATTCGTCTCGCAGACTTATTGTACGTACAGTGAGGGAAAAAACTATTTGATCCCCTGCTGATTTTGTACGTTTGCCCACTGACAAATAAATCATCAGTCTATAATTTTAATGGTAGGTTTATTTAAACAGTGAGAGACAGAATAACAACAACAAAATCCAGAAAAACGCATGTTAAAAATTATATAAATTGATTTACATTTTAATGAGGGAAATAAGTATTTGACCCCTCTGCAAAACATGACAGTACTTAGTGGCAAAACCCTTGTTGGC